GGACATTCTCATTCCTCAGTTCCAGGATGATTAGTGTGCTGCAGAGCAGTCTGGGTAGTGACTCCAGCGACTGTGAGGCTGACGATTCCAAAGGTCGTGACACACAAGCACACACACAACGAGAGCCCTATAAATTCACAAGTGATTGTAAAGACTATTAGAACATTACTGTGGCTTTAATGAGTTATTAATGAGTTATTAACAGGTTATTAATGAGTTATTAATGAGTTACTAATGAGTTATTAACGAGTTATTGATGAGTTATTAACGAGTGCTGCTGAAACCGAATGGCTGCAGTGTTTTTGTACGTGGCGTACGTTTCACTCCCAGAGGACCAGCGAAGTCCAGCTCAGGTCTCCACATGTGGTCTAACATCATTGGCTACGACCGGCTCGTAAATTATTATAATGTGTTAACGTATATCCGCGGAGATGCTAATTGACTTTTACTGCTGGGAAAACACAGGCTCGTGGAACTTACTGAGTTGTTCAATCTGTTATAACTATTAATAGCATTAGCATTAGCAGCAGCAGAAATAACATGTATCAGTTATCAGACTAAACGACTTAGAATTGTTTACACAGTGACATTTATTCCAACAGGAAACAGTTCATTTATGACATAATTATCCATAAAAAAACACAATATGTCCATGTTTTTCCCGGTGTTTATTAGAAAATATTAATATTTACTGAAATACTATTAAGTGTTCCCGGATTGTTTTTACTTGCAAAATTCATCAAGTGGGCCGGATCGCCCTTCACAGTGGGCCGATTTTGGCCCACGGGCCGTATGTTTGACACCCCTGTTTTCCAACATATATTGATTTTTTGATATGATGAGGGTCTCTCAGTAACCATCCAACCACAGGGACCCAGCACTGCCCCCCCCCCCCCCCCCCCTCACCCAGGTACCCTCACTGTGACTGCAGGAATATAAATAAACCCAAAAGCTCAGTGTGTTTTTTCAGGCCTAAGAATCGGTACCTGGTTAAACTTGGCAGGTGTTACGAATGTAAAGGAAATGTCTGTTAAACATTAGCCGGCATGAGGTCATCCGTTAGTGTGCTATAGAACTCCATAGCTGCAGGAGAGTGGGGGGGAGGGAGGGGGGGTCTAAGGCTAGACCAGGACTGGAGACCAGGACGAGGTGAGGACGGACCATATGGACCACATCTGGTCCTGGGAGACTGAGATCTGGGGTCAGTCTTTTAATAGTTGGAGAGTCAAGGAACATCTCCCTGACCCCTGGAGATGGACATAAATAAACCTATGTGCCACTCCCCTGCGCCCCCCCCCCCACACACACACAGACTGCATGTGGCAGTGATCTGGAACCACAATTAGCAAACGATGGAGGAAGAGGAGGGTAAAATTGGACGAGAGGTTTCTCTGATTGAGGGGAAATGGGAAACAGGCGAGATCAGATCTGGCCCCTTAGCCTCAAACACACACACACACACACACACACACACACACACACATATGCTGTGTGAATTATGGTTGCTGGATCAGTAACGTCATATCTCTGGCCCACTTTTGGTGTAGATCTGTCAACTCTGATCACGGCCTCATGTCCTTGGATTCAAATAAGGTTGGGGCGGGGAGGGGCC